TTCAGCAGAAGGAACCATGGCGGAATCCGGTGACCGGAAAAGCCAAAGAAAGCCGGAGAGGAGCGAAACAAACCGTTATTGATAATCTCAACATGAGGGGAGCCGGAGGAGAGGAGATAAATTAGGGTTCTTTAGATAAAGAGCAGAGATCGAGAAGTCGAGGCATGGTCGGAGACCGGAGAAGTCATGGAGCTAGCCAGAGAGAGAGAGAGTATGTGTGTCTTAATGATAGGAGAGGACAAGAGGAGGGGGAGGATAAATTCTGCAAATCTCACTTTCAACAATTCTCTTTGTTTGGAATCTTGTGGAAATAAAATTGTTGGAGAGAAGAGAGAGAGATATATGTCAATCTTGAAATTATAAGGAGTAATATAATGGGCACTAGGTATGTGAAGAGCTTCTTCTTATGCGGTCAATCTCGGCACATGTATTTTAATATTCCTTCGTTTTAAAATATAAGATGTTTTGGAGATTTATTTTGTTTTAAAATATAAAATATTTTGATAATTTTAGATATTTTTTAACTTTTTAAATATTTTGTGACCACTAATATTTTGCAGTATTTTGTGTGATTAGTCAAATTATTTTTATTAGATATATTAAATGATACTTTTTAAATAATAATACTTTTTTAAACTCCACGCATTTAGCCAAAACATCTTATATTTTAAAACGGAGGGAGTATATTAGTATACACATACAAACTTATTTTCTTTTTTCGTCACCATATAATACATGGCTTTAAAAAAAGAAATATTTTGGGTAACGAAACTCATATTAGTTATTATGTGATCAATGAAGGGACTATTTGGATATTTTTGTCATGTTTTTTTTTTGTTTTGTGTCATGTTACGCAGAATGATAATCATGATTCAAACTGTAATAATGAACCATTTTTGCGATTTATATGCTTGCGATTTATATGGTGTGAATCATGAACCATTGTATAGTCTTTTTTGTTGTTTGTTATTATTACTTAAGTTCATATCATTTTTTTGCATAAACAATGCTATTTCCAAATCTTAATTGAGAAACACAAAATATCACCAAAGATGTGGTAGCCTAATGGTAACACAAGGGAGTTGGTTCCCTTGTGTCCAGGTTCAAACCCTTTTTGGTACTGAGGGTTAATCTTTAAATCAGAATATCCAAAAACTGCCTCCGGATACTGAAAAGACTCGGAACTCTTACGGTTTATCAAAAAAAAAAAACACAAAAATATTTGTGCGTAAAAAATATTTACTTTAGAATTATGTTTTTGGCACATTTTATTCAACTCTTTTCGAAAAGGTTAGTCTAACTCTTGTATTTAAAGATTTTGCAATGGTCACAATGCTATTTTCGCTAATAAATACGCGTTTGAAATAATATTCACTTATCAAGAAATTTCTAGAATTTGACTGGTAATAATACTCGAGAACAGAATGAATAAGAAAAGTTCTTCATATGGCCTCAAATAAGGTCATAGGCTGGTATGGCCGTATGGGCTGGTCACACTATATCTTAAGCATTCAATGGATTGTTAGAACACCTTCAATGGAAGCTCTTAAGTGACTTTTTCACAATAAAAAATTGAATAAAATTAAAGAAAAATAAGAGAGAGCAAAATGGGTTTCTCAGAAAAAAAAAAACTTTCAAAAAAAATTGAAAAACCCTATGTGACAAATGTCATCATGTAATTGATTCAAACTTTTTAGCAGTTTAAATTTAATTACACAAAATAAATTAATTCAAAAAAAACTAATATAATACTTGATGAGATACTTTTTCAAGCATTTCACCATTGGAAATGCTTTTAGACCACCTCCATAAAAAAATTCTCGAAATAATAGTTAAATATTAGAGGGTTCTCAAAAGAGGAGAGAGGTGTCTAAAATATCTCATTTGAGAACCTCTTTCTCCTCTTTTGAGAACTCCTCCTCATATTTTATTTATATTTTGTTTTATATAATTTTTTTGAGAACTTCTATCATAACTTTAGATGAAGATGCTCTTAGGTTATTCAAAAAATAGGTCGCTGTGGTGGTTACAAAGTCCATTAGTATTCATGATGTATGGTTCTTTTGGCGTGGACATTTTCGGCCATCAGTAGTTTGGGTACATCTTGGTTTAGATAAGGAGGCAGATCCTTATCAGGGAGAGGTTTACCATCCTCTTTCTAAACCAACATCGGTCTTACCATTCATATAATAAATTCAACATAATGCATGTGTATATCTTTTAAGATTCTAAAACTTCTGGAGGATTCTTTTAATATGGCTCCAAATTGCTTAGAATTATTCTAAGAGCATGATAACATTTAATGTATCTACACTGATTTCCCTACTTTTTGCCACGAAAATGTACAAACAGATTAATAGATAATTGTTATAGTGAACCAATCTAGCTGCATGGAGGACTCGATCCACAATAATATAATAAAACCAAACAAAACCAGTATTTTTCCTGCGTCATCAAGCCAACAAAAGTTTTGAGATATTCCGCACACCTATTCAAAGTAAATAAGATAATAATATCAATACACGTACGAGAGGGACTATAGCAGTATATTCCTCAATGTATCTTATCATTACAAGTTTACAACTAATTAACATATATTTCTATATGCGATGCGAGACACAGAATAGAAACTTATATCACGTATATACACAACATAGTACATATGAACACTCGTGCATATATACATTTTTTGTTTTAACGGTTAGATATATTCTTTTTTTTTTGGTAAAATGTTAAATCGGTTAGATATATTCTTAAGAAAGCCTATATCGAGAAGTTTTTTACTTTAGTTTGTTTTTAGTTTCAAGAATAAAATGAAATGCAAAAACAAAAAATTGGTAAGAGATCGAAGATCTAAAAGTTACAATTAACAATAACACCAAAACTAAGAGAAAATGAATTGCGGTTAAGAATTAAACAAGTACTATTGTACCTTATGAATAGAAAAGGTGGCATGGCATGTCGATTTTAATCAGGAAAATATTCAATAAGTTGACCGAGTTATAATATAATATATAGTAAATTTGTTTTTGTTTTCGCTTATGTGTGTGTTGTCTTTTACTCTATAAATAGATAATGAAGTTGCCCTTTTAAATATGTTTTTTGGTATTTCTGGGGTTAAATAAAAGCTGGTATATATATTCAGTAAAGCCAGGAAACGAGACGAGTGGAGTGCGAGGCATGATGACATTAGACCTGTCAAATTTCAATTATTTAGATATGAAGTGTTTTAATAATCCCAAGAATACTAGTTAATTATTCCTAAATGAAAACTACGAATATTTTAAGTCACTGATTTATAATACAAAAATGACGCAGAGGGGAGTTTCGCATGCACCAAAAATGATGATGTTTTGGGTTAAAAGCTCATTTCCCAATATCATACAGCAAAAATATACAGTCTTGTGATGCTTTGAGAGAGACATTGTTTCTCAACGAATTGTACTTCTATTAAGAACCATGTGCTCCCAACAATCTTATGCTAGTACGTTTTCCTAATAAAATAGACAAATTAGTTGATCAACAAATGACCTCTTGTTGATACCGGAACATCGTTGAACTAAGTGAGTAGAAAATGCTATGCTAGAAAATGCTAAGTGTTCGAGATACACTCTGAAAAAAGTCTACAATCTAAGGCAGATCAAAGTGAAGATTAAAGTGGGTTACTCGATGGTTACACTCATTCTGGAAGATTAGTCGGGTGGTAAAAACCCGGAAACCCTCCGGTTATAAAAAAAAAAAAAATTGGGATATCGAGTTAATTCTCTGGCTTTATGACTAGAGTTTGAAATTTGAAATTTGATAGTAGAAAAATTGGGATATCAATGCAAGTTTCAAATCGAAAATTTAGACAAATATTGTTTGGTATATAAAATTAAGTCCAACTCTAATTAGTTTGACACATTTTTGGGAATCTTCCCCTTAAACCAATAACCACACAAACCCTTGTATTCCAACTTCAAGCGAAATCTGACACCCATTTTGTACATCCGCTATCACCAACAAAACTCTTCACCTAACTCTTGGGACACTGTTAGGAAGAATTTCGACACAATACCCGACATCCTTAATCGCGAGGTCACTTTAAAATCTTTCCTCCCACAACGAACATTCAGCCCACACCTATTTTGTCATATCCACCTTTTTCTTAACCTATACTCTGATACCAATGTTAAAATTTGTACCGCTGCCTAGGATATGCATATATATGTTGATATGCTTTGAATCTAATAACACTTTGTTTGTGATCAGTTTTGTTGATATCTATACTAAGTCGGTTATTCATATCAAGTTCCAAATAATGTCACAAGATGTTAATCGCTTTAAGGAACATATGAGGCAAAAGAAATTTCTTGTACAAATGGCATTATAAATTTGTAGTGATGCATCTACTATACATCTTTGTCTAGAGGATTCAAGTCAAGGTGAAAATTTGTTGATATATTTTGAATCCAATTGCTGCATTTTAACTTATATTTTCTAGTTGGATCTAGGCTTGGGACTCCAATTGGTTTAAGGATGAATTAGGATTGTGTGTATAGGACTTTATATAGTCCGTTTATCTTACCTAAGTCTTAATCAAGGCATCACTTAAGCTAGAACAAAGGCTCACATCTTATAGTAAAGAGTAAAGACAAACATAGTGTTTAAATAAAATAAGGCATAGAGATAGGGAAAAGAAAACA